GTAAGGGCAGCAGGCTTACTTAGAGTGTTTAGCTAAAGGTAAAGTATGTCAGAAGTAACCAGCAACCTCCATTGACTCCTCCGGGCACCATGTACCTGAAGGGGCAGCAGCATGAGAGCGTGCAGGAGATAAATGAGAATGAACCATTTAAAATGTGGTAAAGTGGAGAGAAACCAAGATGGCAGCATAGGGTAGACACCTGAATGCAGCCTACCACAACAAATTTGAATTTAGAACTGGAAAACAGGGGAAACATCGCCCTGAAGCACCAGACGGCTGGCTGAGAGGAGGCTCTACCATCTGGGAAGAAGAGAGAAGACACACTGAACTTCAGGAACTGTGAAGGTGCAGAGAACTGTGCGCACAAAAAGGCGGCCACCTGACTTTGCTGCTGGCTTGCTTGTGGAGCGCGGAGAGGGCGGGCCAAGTTCGCTACCGGCTTACTCCCTGCACACGGAGAGGGCAGACAGCTAATGCGCTTTCTTGTTCAAGAGGAAAACAGAACCACCCTATTGCTCTGATAGACGGCCCCAGACAGGGAGAGGCCAGACTGTCGGGCAGTGGGCAGAGATCTCTCGGAGGTGTGTGAAGCCAGCAGCCATTACTGCGGGACTCAGAAACCAGACTCTCGTAGGGAGGGGCTGAACAAAGCTTGTCTGCACCTCCCTGAGACTCCGCCCCATCCAAGTGGAGCACAGAAACCCTTCCAGTGGCTAGCTTTCTCGTTTGGCCGAATAGGACTCTCCTAGGGAGGAGCAGACAGGAATCCAAAGCTTGTCTGCGCCCATACCAAAGAGGTGCGCGCACCTGCAACCAATCTTGCAGGATTCACCAAAGCTCGGCTGTGCGACCCCGAGACTCTGTCCCATCCAAGCGGAATACAGAAACCCTCCTAGCTGAGACACTTCTGATCCTCATAGCCAATTGGCTTGGAGATCAGCGCTTCCCAGTGATACCAACAACAAGCAAGGCTTAACAACAAGACCGCACACACAGCCCACAAAGGGCTACACCAAGACTATCCACCTCAGGTAACTGGGAGACTGACCCGCTGAACCATATAGGACACCTTAGCACACAAAGCCACCCTACCAACTCAGGGAAGCTGTGAAAATGCCGAGACAAGCCAAAACCGCTTTGGCTCAGTGGATAGAGCATCAGTCTGTGGACTGAAAGGTCCCAGGTTCGATTCCGGTTAAGGGCATGTACATTGGTTGCGGGCACATTCCCGGTGGGGGGTGTGCAGGAGGCAGCTGGTGGATGTCTCTCTCTCATTGACATTTCTAATTCTCTATCCCTCTCCCTTCCTTTCTGTGAAAAATCAACAAAATATATTTTTAAAAAAAGAAAATGCCGAGACAAGGAAACAGATCACAAACAAAAGAAATGGAGAACAAGAAGCAACTGGATATAGAGTTCAAAACCATGCTTATGAGGTTTTTTAAGAATTTCCTAGAAAAGGCCAATAAAATAAATGAGACCTATGAGGATATGAAAAAGGATCAACTAGAAATAAAGAATACATTGTATGAAATAAAAAATATTATACAGAGTCCTAAAAACAGAATGGAAGATTGCAAGAATCAAGTCAAAGATTTGGAACATAAAGAGCCAGAAGACACTCCTCCACAGAAGAAAGCAAGAGAATCCAGAAAGTTGAAGATAGTGTAAGAAACCTCTGGGACAATTTCAAACGAACCAACATCAGAATTATGGGGGTCCCAGAAGAGAGAGAGCAAGATACCGAAAGAATACTGGAAGAAATAGTGACAGAAAACTTCCCCCACCTGGGGAAAGAAATAGACTTACAAATCCAGGAAGTGCACAGAACTCCAAACAAAAGGAATCCAAAAAGGACCACACCAAGACACATCATAATTAAAATTCCAAGAGCAAAAGACAAAGAGAGAATATTAAAAGCAGCAAGAGAAACGCAGGTAGTTACCTATAAAGGAGCACCTATACGATAGTCAGCTGATTTCTCAACAGAAACCATGCAGGCCAGACGGGAATGGCAAGAAATATTCAAAATGATGAACAACAAGAACCTACAACCAAGATTACTCTACCCAGCAAAGCTATAATATCATTCAGAATTGAAGGTCAGATAAAGAGCTTCACAGACAAGAAAAAGTTAAAGGAAGGAGTTCATCATCACAAACCAGGATTACATGAAATGTTGAAGGGTATTCTTTAAGAAGAGGAAGAAGAAGAAAAAAGTAAAGGTAAAAAATTAGGAACAACAAAAAGACATCAAATACATATCTACCAACAAGTGAATCTAAAAATCAAGTGAATAAAAAATCTGAAGAACAAAATGGACTGGTGAATACAATAGAATTAGGGATACAGAAAGGAAGTGGACTAACAATTCTCAGGGGGAGGGGGTCTGAGGGGTACAGGAAGAGACTGGACAAAAATCTTATACCTATGAATGAAGACAGTGGTGTAAGGGCATGGGGTGGGGTTGGGAATCAGGTGGAGGGGAGCTATTGGGGGGGGAGAACACCTGTTATAATTTGAACAATAAAGATTTATTATAATATATTATATATATTTAAAAATATATAAATAATAAAAATAATTATTGTATAAACAAACGAAAACAAACAAACAAACAAACCACGGATGGCCATGGAAATCTGCTGGTGCCGGGAGGAGCCCGGACATGAGCTCTGGAACTCCGCAGGCATCACTGGGCGAGTGGACACCCTCCATTTATCAAGTGAATTTTATTAAAAAAAAAAAAAAAAAAACTACAGAAAGGACAAAGAATTAAAAGAATTTTAATAAAATCAAATTTACATTTGTACATCTTGTGTATTTGGGACCCAACCAGGGGCAAAGGATAGAGTTGCAAGGACACCGGTTTCCATAGGAGAGCAAGCAAAAAGCAAGGGCTATCCTGGCTGTGTGACAGGCTTCGCTCCACGGCAACCGAGGCCCTCCTTCCAGCACGGTCCGGGCGGAGCCAGGCCCGGCCCACGGCCTCACTCCCCGTTAGTGCTCGAGGGGCAGCAGCAGATCCACAGGCCATCAAACGAGACAGTCTTGCCCACAGAACATAAGTGACAGCTGGTTCGGTGCCTGCTGTTCTAACTAACATGGTCACACAGAGCCTGGAGGGGAAGGCTGAGCGGTGCTTCTGACTGCTCTCTCCCACAGCACGCTCACAAGCAGCAGGCCTGTGGGACGAACACGTATTTCTTTTCAAAATGTGATTTGAGAAAAAGCCTTGTGGGAGTTGGAGGAAGATTAGAGAAGGGTTTCGAACACAGGAGACAATTCTGCAGTGTCACAGAGTCCTGCCTGTCTTCAAGGGTTTGGGAGAGCCGGAAAACTGTTCGACGGCAACTCCCATTATTCTAAAGGAAAACAAACATTTCAAAGTATAGACCAATGTTCAGAGAAAAAAGAGACGGACCAGGGGCCCCAAGTTAGAAATGAGCAATCACAAGACTTTTTCAAGGCTGTACCCACTGAGTAGAGAACAGTGCTTTGCAAAGTGCATATTGCTGGACTAGCCGCCCGTTCTTCGAGGAGTAGATCGGAGCACACAGTTGGGCGGTGATATGCACAGTAACGTGGTGATCTGCACGCCACCCGCAGGGTAATGCCGGCCGGGCTGTGTCCCCCCAGCAGCAGCACGGGGCTGCGCTGCGGGCAGAATGCCATCCTTCTCCGCGGAGCTCACGGACACCTAGTTAGGAAAGCAGGCGTGGGTGCCGTTGCCTTCTCGGCCCAGTCGGAACCACCAAGGAAAAGGAAGGCTGACGATTCGCAGTGCAGAAGGTTTTTAAAGACCGGAGTGGGCTCTTCCCCCCTCCGTAAGGCTGAGGCGCGGGAGGGTGTGCTCCAGGGCGCTCCCCTCACAGACGCTGATGCTTGCTTGCAAGCCTGGCATCGGGGTACAGTGTCTTCATTTTTCATCCCTAACAGAGTCAGCCACCAAAACGAAGACATCCGAGGGCAGAGCGGGAACCACAGACCCATCCGCCGTCTGGGACGACGGGCACTGGATCCCTGTGACCGGGAACCCAGGGCGGCATGTGAGGTGCTGGAGGCAAGGCGGCGGCCGGGCCTCCCTCGGGGCATCACCTGCGGGAAAGGCGACCACCTCACCCTGTGCAGCGGCAGCGCCACCCACGGCCGCCCAGCTGAGTGCGGGAGGCCGGCCTCTCCCGGGAACACACGCGGGTTGTGCTCATTGTTTCCCTTTTAATTTCCCCAGTGTTCAACAGGAGGTACATGTTAATGAGAAACATTCCTACCAAATATGACAGATGATTTTCCAAATAAGAGAAATATTACAAAGAAAATATAACTTTGAATAAAAATGTTTAGTCAAGCACACTGACCGTGGGGTTTGAGACCAGCAGGCGCGTGGGCCCTGCAGTGAGGGGCACACGTGTGGGCCCCGTCCCCACGGCTCCCTGTCTCGGCCGCCGTCCCCCGGGCAGCCAGCCTCTCCCTCGGCCTTCATCCGTTTCTTAGTGGTGTTCACTTGCCAGAAGCCAGAGCATACTGTTCGCCCGAAGGGACGCTTTCAGGGTGGGGGCCGGATGGGAAACAGGAGGGAACGGACACACCTCCCAGGCCAGCCGACGCCAAGGGCGAGAGCAGAGCCCCGAGGTCACCGTAGGCAGCGCTGTGCCAGGACGGAGCACGCACCACGTGGGGGGAAAGCCCGCACGGGACTCTGCCCTGGCACTCACCGGGCTGAGCAGTCACCTGCGTGCCACCCTGAGGAAACGCCCAGGGCCAGCGTGCGCCTGAGGTAGGCGTGGGCGCCGTCCCGGAGTGCGCGGGCAGGCTCACTCTCCACTGTGGGTTTCCCGTGCACTCCTGCCGGCTGGTCAGCAAAGAGTCCTCGTTTCACATTGAGCGAGTCTCCCGGCACCGAGCTGTCCCCTGTCCTGGCTGGCCCAGCGCCGCCGCTCTCTGCTCCTTGCATTGGTGTGAGGAGAACTCGGGGTTCCCCTGGTGCCCAGGTGGTCCCTTCAAGTCCGAGTGCCAGGGCGGGGGGCGCTGGGGTTCGAGTGTCTGCTGGCGGCACAGTGGGTGTGGACGAGGTCGCCGGTCGGGTACCTGACAAACACGGGCTCGCAGAAGGGACGGCGGCACACCTGGCACAGCTGTTTGTCCGAGAGCCGGAAGGAGCTCCTCTTCACCCTCACCTGTGGAGACAGAGACAGGGGTCACGGCGGCTGTGCGGCCTCAGACCCCTCCCCCGGGACCGTTACTGAGGAGCACTGCCTTAACACCGACTTCCGAGACAAAACAGTTCACTGAAAATAACAAACTCGGCCTCAGCCCCTGGAGGAGCACGGAGCCTCGGAACCGCTCTCTCACTTCAGAGACATCACCGTGCTCGTCTGGCGGAGCATTCCCCCCAGGCGGCCCTCGGCGCTCCGTGAGCTGGGTGCCCCCCGCGAGGCCTGCTCCCCGTGGGCGCTCTGAGCACCGAAGGCCGCACCACCCTCACTCCCGGCCTCTCACCGACAGACAGGCCGAGGAGGAGCAGACAAGGCACCTGGTCAAAGCCGGGAGGCTGGTTAGCGGCACATTCCTGACGGCCCAGGGACTAAGGAGCCCGTAGTGTGACTCCATCGCCAGTTAAGGCCACAATTCCCTCTTGTGGGGACTGAGCAGCAGCCTGCTGTGTTCTCCTTGGACACACCAGTCATCCCACATGTATTCGACGCCCTCGGGACACCTGGTCTGGCTCTAGGATAAGGTGACCAGACGTCCGGATTTTTAACAATTTGTCCCGTGTCCTGTGGTGTTTTAAAAAAGTCCCGATCTTTTTCCAAAACGGCCCGCTCCTGCCACACACTGCCTCTCCGAGTGTAACACACAGACTGCCGCTGCAGAGAAAACACCGACAGAGACGTTTCCCCGGGCAAAACCACGCACACCGAGCGCCCACCTGGTCGTGCTGATAGATCAGGTTCTCCGCCGTGGCCAGGCCGAGCGCCACCTGCGCGGTCCTCCTGGCGTGGGTGCTGTCCCGCACGGCGCCCGTCAGGAACGGGCAGAGCAGCTGCACCGACCAGGAGCCCGGCAGCAGCTGCAGGACCTGGGCGGCGTCGAACTCGGCGGCGTGGCGGTTCAGGAGGTCCACGGCGGCCACGGTTAGCTCTGCGGGGCCGGGGGCGGGGGCTGCGGCGGGAGCGCTGGGGCCGGGGCCCAGGTACAGGGCCAGCAGCGTGTGGAAGAGCCGCCGCCGGTAGGCCGGCTCCCGGCCCGCCGAGCGCCAGGCGCAGTAGTCCTCGGCCGCGGCGAAGTCCCGCAGCTCCAGCGCCAGCGTGCGCAGCGCCTGCTCGTGCTCCTCCAGCTTCCCGTGCAGGATGGCCCTCTCCATGGGCAGGTCCGCGCCCCGCACCCGCTCTGTGGGCAGAACCACGGTCAGACAGCGCCAGGCCACGCTGGCGCCCGGCCGCTCCTCCGCCCGCCCGGACCACGCGGACAGCGCCCGTGCCCACCCTGTGCACCTGTGTCCCTCACGCTAACGCCTCGGCTGCCTCTCTCTAAGGACAGGCAGGTCCAGCTTTGGCTCAGAGTTTAGAGAACGAAAGACGAAACACAGGACCCTGGTCTCAGAGGCCGGGACCTGCGTGCCAGCACGGGGCCAACAACCTTCATGCTTGACTCTTGCCCCCCTGGGTGGGCTTGGCAGGAACTACTACACCATGTGCCCCAGTGACCCCGGAGTCATCTGGCTCAAGGGGACAATCGGTCATCTGAGTGGCAGTGCTGTTCCAGGCTTGGGGACACCCACTTCCTGCCGGCTCCCAGAGCTCTCCTCACCCAGCAGGCCTGGCCTGCTGCTCCCTGGGCCCTCACCTGACCTTCGGTTACGAGGACAGGAATCCAGCCACACCTCTCTCTATCCTCCCTGCATGTCTGACACTACGCATGCTCCAAAAAGGAGGCTGGATAAAAACACTCATCAACAAACGATGAGTGGCGTGAAGCTTTTAGGAAGGGATCGTACGGCATAAAGTAGGACATAAGGCAGGGGCAGTGGAAATGCTGAACAAGCACGACAGCACGGGCACTGACCAACCATAATGGCCGGTGGCTGTGGGCAACCGACCGGCCGAACACCAAGTGCAGGCTGGGGCTAGTGCTGGCCTCCACACGGATCCCGGAGCCCAGGCCTGCTGGGACGCCTGCTCGGAGCTTCACACTCCTCTGCTATAGAGGTCAGGAAATAAGCGTCACACTGCTGCTGAGCGTGGTGACCTATGCCTGGGATACACACAGTCAGCCCAGTGTTTGCAGATTCTCTGTGCCTGCTCACCAGCATGTAACTCCAAAAGCAATGCTTCTGAGGCACCTGTGGCCTGGCCCAGCGCGGCCAATCAGGTGAGCCCGCGACAGGTGAAGCTCGGCCCTTCCCGGGCACAGGCGTGTGCTGGTCACAGTCCCCTCAGGGCCCCAGGGGAGCACTGCTGTGCCTCCTGGTGGTGTCAGCATTGAAGCGGCCCGAGCACAGTGCTGGACGCGTCTGCGCTGGGAGCACAGGGAGGCCGGGGCCGCTCAGAAGCCTCGAGGGGGGGGGGGGCTGACTCTGAGCCAGCTGTTACATGAGGGCCTTTAAGCAGAGAGGCTCACATGGAGCGGCCGAGGGAGAGCTAGGGACCAGATGCGCAGGGAGCTGGCCCGGCTCTCCCGAGCGCAGCGGGTCCTCGCTGATTGTCTGTGAGACCACAGAGCATGGCCTGGGACCATGAGCTCAGTCCGCAGGGAAGGGCCGCTGCCCGCTGGGCGGGAGGCCTGGGAGCTGCGCCCCCTCCGGCGGGGCTGGCTTTGTGCCTTAAAGGCTGGAGGAAGCCCCAACGGGACCACAGGGGCGATACCGCAGCCGCCCGCCCCCGCCCCCACGGTCGTCATGGAGACCAGAGCTCTCCTCACCCATCAGGAAGTGCACTCGATACAGGTCGGACGTCTGCAGCAGGCGGCGCAGCTTCGCCTGCGTCTCCGTCACCTCGGCGCCGGGCGTCCGCTGCAGCACCGCGTCCAGGTAGAGCAGGGCCAGGCGCGTGTGGTACTCTTCCCTCTGCAGGACACGGCCAGCAAACGCGTGTTCGCGAGGGGGAGACGGGTGCCCGGCCGCAGCGCCGAGGGGATCTGGCGGATTCGCAACGACAGCCCACAGCACATTGGCTGGGCAAGAGCCTCTCAGAAACCACAACACAGAGAAGGTGAGTTTAAAACCTACGGGGCCCGCGGGTCGGGTGCGGCCAGGCCCGGAGCAGCGGCTGCCAGGCTGGGAGCGGCCAGGCCCGGGGGAGCAGGCGGGTCGGGTGCGGCCAGGCCCGGAGCAGCGGCTGCCAGGCTGGGAGCGGCCAGGCCCGGGGGAGCAGGCGGGGCTGGTGCGGCCAGGCCCGGAGCAGCAGCTGCCAGGCTGGGAGCGGCCAGGCCCGGGGGAGCAGGCGGGGCTGGTGCGGCCAGGCCCGGAGCAGCGGCTGCCAGGCTGGGAGCGGCCAGGCCCGGGGGAGCAGCCGGGTCGGGTGCGGCCAGGCCCGGAGCAGCGGCTGCCAGGCTGGGAGCGGCCAGGCCCGGGGGAGCAGGCGGGGCTGGTGCGGCCAGGCCCGGAGCAGCGGCTGCCAGGCTGGGAGCGGCCAGGCCCGGGGGAGCAGGCGGGGCTGGTGCGGCCAGGCCCGGAGCAGCGGCTGCCAGGCTGGGAGCGGCCAGGCCCGGGGGAGCAGGCGGGGCTGGTGCGGCCAGGCCCGGAGCAGCGGCTGCCAGGCTGGGAGCGGCCAGGCCCGGGGGAGCAGCCGGGTCGGGTGCGGCCAGGCCCGGAGCAGCGGCTGCCAGGCTGGGAGCGGCCAGGCCCGGGGGAGCAGGCGGGGCTGGTGCGGCCAGGCCCGGAGCAGCGGCTGCCAGGCTGGGAGCGGCCAGGCCCGGGGGAGCTGCCGGGTCGGGTGCGGCCAGGCCCGGAGCAGCGGCTGCCAGGCTGGGAGCGGCCAGGCCCGGGGGAGCAGCCGGGTCGGGTGCGGCCAGGCCCGGAGCAGCGGCTGCCAGGCTGGGAGCGGCCAGGCCCGGAGCAGCAGCAGCCAAGTCCAGAGCAACTAGGTCGGGAGCGGCAGTGACCAGACCCGGAGCAGCTGGTTGTGGAATGAACCAGAGCAACAGAGGCCAGGCCCTGAGCAGCCAGGCCCAGAACAGCTCGCTCCTTGCCGGCCCCTGCCCCACGGCTGCTTCTCAGACATGGCTGGAAACTTTCGTGGGAACTTGAGGGTCTGCTGAATCAAGTGATGAAGGCTTAGATCTGGATGTGTTGAGTTAGTTTAGGACTGGGGTGTTGATCTGTGAGTGCCTTGGGTGGGGCCTGGATGAGGCTGGTTGACCTAGTGGGAAATGTCTTTTGTGAGAAGTGTATCATTGGGCATGTGGAGGTATTATTGATATGAGAAAATGCTAAGTAACTGATTTACTATCTGAAAAGGGATTTACTATTGGGGAAATTGAGGGAAGAAGAGACTGAACATAAACTGTGCACCTATGGATGAGGACAATGGGGGATGGGGGGGGGGGGACGGAGGGTGGGGTGGGAACCTGGTGGCGGGGGGAAGAAATGAGGAACCTTTGTAATAATATGAACAATAAAGATTGATTTAAAAAAAAAAAAATAAAAAAAAAAACAAAAACAAAAACAAATTCAAATAAACAAAAAGAACTATGGGCATACTGAAAAAAAAAAATAAATAAAAAAAAAAAATAAAAAATAAAACCTACGGGGCCCTAGCCGGTTTGGCTTGGGGATAGAGCCTTGGCATGCAGACTGAAAGGTCCCAGGTTCGATTCCAGTCGGGGGCACATGCCCGGGTTGCAAGCTCAATCCCCATAGGGGGCATGCAGGAGGCAGCCGATCAATGGTTCTCTCTCATCATTGATGTTTCTATCTCTCTCTCCCTTTCTCTCTGAAGTCAATAAAAATATAAATAAATATAAAACTTACGGGGAAACTATAAAAGGGCTACTTCTCATTTTGAGAAGGGCCACAGGATGTCAATATTCTTCAAAGAGGTGCAGCTTCTCTTGTTTCCTTTAAGAACGTTAACGGGAAGGACTAGAGAAGAAAAGCACGAGCTAGTGGACATGCGATGAGGGCAAGAAGCCACTTATTCCTCCCGTCTGCCTCACAACCGCCAGCTCCCCGCAGCCCACCAGTGGCACAGAGCGTTCTATCCGCCCGTCTTAGCGCTGAATCCCGTCACTTAGAGCGGGTGCTGCCCCCTGCACACCTGGCCGCCTGGCGGGCTCACCTGCAGGTTCCGGTCCATCACCAGGTGCTCCAGGTAGCGGACGAGGGCGCTGGGGTATTTCTTAAGGCGGCTGAGCACGTGGTCTGGACTGAAGCTGGTCTGCTGCTCCTCCAAAGGCCTCTTGGTGAAAAGCTGGACTCCGACCTGAGGGGAGAGCGCGCCTGAGGGCCGGCTCTGCACAGGCCCCGCTCCCGTGTCCCACTCCGTCCGCGCTCGGGGGCAGCCACAGGCCGGGGGCAGTGCACAGGGAGCTGGCAGACGGAGCCGAGGCTGCCGGGCCCTGCCCCCCTCACAGCCTGGCGATTCCCTTTAAAGGGACAGAGTTTGAGAACGAAGCATTGATTGGAAACAGCCCATAGAGCGAAACCTTGTAAGGTTAAGATCATCCCCAAGCCAGGATGCTCACGGGCTGACCAGGAAGGGGACAGATCCGAAGGGCTGCCTGCCCAGCGCCCGCTCTCCTGACGCTGACACCGCCTGTGGGGGCCTCGTTTCCAGCTGCCACGGCCCGTGTCCGGGGCCCACGCGCAATGCCGTGCTCCGAGGACGCGCTGACGGGCACGCAGGACGCAAACCCAGCCTGCACCCGCCTGGGCACTGTGTGCACGCGTAATCACACACCCTTCAGCGGGACAGCGCAGCTGGCTCTGCCAACTCTAGTGCTCGGGACGTTCAGAGCTCTCCCACCCTTAGGTGCTCGCTGGGGGCTGTCTCCTTGTTTAAAAGAGGTGACACGTGTCGGGGACCAGTGCAGGGTCAAGGGCAGAGCACCCAGAGCCCGAGCGCCAGGACCACCTCTCAGCTGCGGAGCGTCCCCGCTGCAACGGCCCTAGGCTGCGAGCGGGCGTGAGCACGTGGTCCTGGGTGTGCCAGCGGCAGCGTGCAGATGGTATAAAACGCACACAGGGCACATGGGCCGACCCTCCAGCTAGGACAGCACAGGGAGCACATGGCCGGCTCCCACTGCAGAGGGCAGAAGTCCGCACCGCGGCCAAGGCCCTGCGTCAGAAAGCTATGCTGTGTCTCCAGAGGAGCGTGGCCGCGCATTCTCAACGCAAGACGAACTGCTATCATTTTCCGGGCGTCGTTGGGTCTGTCCTCGGGGTTCTGGCCTGTCCCGAGCACGCTGTTCCCTCCGGGGCCGACAGGCGCTCTCACTGACGTCCTCCTCAGCCTCCGAGATGGGCCAGGCCTGCTCATGCTGCCCTCCTTCCTCCAGACCCACGAGCCCCATCACGGCTGGGAGCAGACAGGGCAGCGGTCCGCCTGGCGTGGCCCAGGCCGGGCACCCGGCCTGCAGAGCGGCCATCGGATCCACAGACTGCAGACCACACGGCCGCCAGCCTCAGGCAGGTGGGGTTTTCCAGAAGATGCCAAGAAGGGGACTGGCTATGCTGCCGCGTCTCTAAGGTGGCCGGCCCCGGACAGGGTGCTGAATGGCGCGTCTCCAAAGCACTGAGAGCCGGGACGCCAGGGGCTCAGGGCGTATGAAGGGGGAGCCAGGGAAGGGACACAGCTCAGCGCGTGGCTGGCCTACCCACCCACATCAAGGCTTTGTCTGTTTCTACCGCCCCTGCATCCACCCCATCCCCGATGAGTCTCCGAAGCACAAACCTCCTCACTTTTCTGCAGGGCCCAGTCAGCGTGCTGCCACACCAGCTCGGGGTCCCGGCTGCGGGTGAGGAAGTCCACCACGTGGTCGTACAGGTCTGCGCGCGTGGGGTCGTCCAGCTCCCCGTTCACGATGCTCACCCACAGCTGCAGGGGCATCGAGAGGAAGAAACACACTGACGTGCCGGCTGGGACCGGCTGAGAAGGGCACACCCTCACTCCCTCGGCCTTTCAATACTTCACAGCAGACGGACACGTTTTAAGTGCTTAAGTCAATTTAACTTGTTCTCAGAGAAATAAAGACGTGTAGAAGACATGGCGCAGGAAACCAGGAAAACCTGACCTTTCCCCTCTTTAGCGACGTCGGTGACATAGGTCACAGGCCTGTGCGGGAGGGGGGGGGTGTGCAGCATGTTTGTGCACAAAGCAAGGCGGGGCTGACAGCTCAGCAGGGAAGCCACCACCCCCTGGCCAGGCCGCTCCCCCTTCTCCACCGGAACCCACTCAGTCCTTTTCCTCCTGCGGCGACACTGTCCTTCCAAACGCCCGACTCTATCCCCTCACGTGCACAAGGCCTCGGACAGACGAGTAAGGAAGGGTCTCGGCCGTTTCTTATAGAACTTCCTGCCGTAAAGGGAAGCTTAAATTCAAACTCAGGTGGAGCAGCAGAGGGCAGCGGGGAGGATACTCGCCCGCTGCTGCGCTGCCCGAGGTGCCAGCATATTCTATGGCACCAGCTTCTTCAACACTGAGTGCCCTGAACCAGTGGTCGGCAAACTGCAGCTTGTGATCCACACGCGGCTCTTTGGCCCCTTGAGTGTGGCTCTTCCACAAAACACCACATATGGAAGCACATCTACAGTTGGTTTTCGGCTCTCAAGAGCAATTTCAATTGTGCTGTTGATATTTGGCTCTGCTGACTGGGTTTGCTGACCACTTCCCTAAACAAATAATCTGATCACACACACTAAATGCGTCATTTTAAAAACATGGTGGATGTCTGTCATATAGTGAGATTTTTTTCATATTATTTCAATTTTGTAAATCTCTATATACTCTTGCTGATATTATTATTACAGGTATATCAAGCTATAATCCTTATGTAACTATGTAAAAAAATTTATCTTTGACACTCAAATCTACTCTCGGCATTGGGTGCCGCTGACAGGAATCCTTTCCCCTCTCAGCAGCTCTGCCACGATGTTGCCACAGCAGTTTAAGCAAATGCCGTGTGCTTTGCCAGAGCCGCGGCGCTGCCCCCGGCTTGCTGAGGAGAGCTGGTGGCCGTGGCTCTCACACGCACAGAGAAGGCCCATGAGGAGGGGGACACAAAGCACCCCATGGGACTGCCGCCTCCGTGGGAAACGGTGTGGCGTTTCCCCAACAATTAAAGATGGGACTCTTATTGGACCCAGGACCCTACTTTTAGGACCATCGCCCAGGAAATCAGAAACACCAGTTAGAAAGGACATATGCATCCCTATGTTCACAGCTGAGCAATTTACAGTAGCTAAGATTTGGAAACAGCCCACGTGCCCATCAGCAGATGCATGGATTAGAAAACCGTGTACATCTACACAATGAATACTACACTGCTGTAAAAACGGAAGAAATTCCTACCATTTGCAACAGGATGGATGGACCTGGGAGCATTATGCTAAGCAAAATAAGCCAGTCGGAGAAAGATAAATATCACATGATCTCACTCATTTGTGGAATATAATAAACAACATAAACTGATGAACAAAAATAGATCCAGAGACACAGAAGCTTTTAACAGCCATCAAACCTCAGAGGGAAGGCAGCGGAGGGGGAGGTAAGAAATCTACCAAAGGACTTGTATCCATGCACATAAGCAAAACCAATGGACACAGATAATAGGGGGAAAAGGCCGGGGCTAGGGGTGGGAGTGGGCAGGGACAGGCTGGAGAGGTCAAGGGGGGAAAAGGAGCCATATGTAATACTTTCAACACTAATTTTTTTAAAGTATATGGATTGTTTAACCACTATGAGGTACACCTGAAACTAATACAAAACAATATTAAATGTAAACTATAATTAAAAAAAAAAAAAAAAGACTTTCCTTTCCTTAAAAATCACAGCGACCCCAGTGGCTGGCAGCTACCACATGAACAGTCTCCAGAAGCATGAGAGCGTGAGTCAGTCAGACGCTGCCGAAGCAGGACTAACACTGGGGTCACGTGATTCAGGCTCCGCACCCGGCTAGGGCCCCTGCAGCTCTGGTTCCACTCCAGCTCTCCTGCAGGCCAGTGGTCTGAACCTGCCTTGACCATCTTCAGTTCTGTGTGTTTTTAAATAATTTTATGATTTCAGAGAGGAAGGAAGAGGAACAGAGAGATAGAAACATCGATGATGAGAATCATTGATGGGGTGCCTCCTGCACACCCCACTCTGAGGATGGAGCCAGCAACCGGGGCATGTGCCCCAACTGGGAAGCCAAACATGACCTCCCGTCCATAGATCAGCGCCTTACCACCGGTCGGCAACCAGCTTTAGCTTTTTCCAGATGACACAGGGACATAGTTTACCCAGCTCTCTGGTGATCGTGACGTCATTAATATCATAAATTCACTAACATTAGCAGGGAATGATAAAGCAAACTGTTATTCCCAGTGTTAATTTTCTAACAAGGCAGGGAAGGCAAATGTCTGAAGCCTCAATAAGAAGTCATATTTTTATTTCTTAAGATTTCAAAAAACTCAGCCTTCATAACGTTCTTTAAAGAGATGTAAAGAACCAAAACTGGTTTGGCTCAGTGGATAGAGCTGAACTGAAAGGTCCCAGGTTTGATTCCGGTGGGAGGTGTACAGGAGGCAGCTGGTCGATGTTCCTCTCTCATTGATGTTTCTAGCTCTCTATCCCTCTCCCTTCCTCTCTGTAAAAAAATCAATAAAATATATTTAAGGAGATGTATAGTCAGAGGGAAAATTTTTGGCCAACATTCTCAAGACATTCACTTTCTAAAAGCAGTAGTCATCTTGTTGTTTTAAAAAGCTTATAGATCAGGGGAAAGTGGTCTCTTTCAACTTATGAGGCTTTAAGCACACAAAGGCAAACAAACGGTACTGATTTCTCAGTAATGCCAACATGCTTTTGAACTAACCTGAACTGCAGCGGCGTCCTGGTTATTATGGTGGTAGAGCAGTCCCAGTGCAAAATACCTGCAAGCAAACAGTGCGGTGAGTGCCCTCCCGCCTTCTGTGGTGGCACCCACACAGAGACACCCCCCTGCATTCTACTCCACTCCGAGTTCAGCAACAAGATCCTCATTTCTGCTTATTTACTTATAGAGGCTCAGTGCACGAATATCCCTCAGCCTGGCCTGCACCCTCTCCAATCCGGGACCCCTTGGGGGACATTGCTCTCACAATCTGGGACCACTGGTTCCTAACCACTCACCTGCCTGCCTGCCTAATTGCCCCTAACCACTTCTGCCTGCCAGCCTAATTGCCCCCTAACTGCTCCCCTGCTGGCCCAATCACCCCCAACTGCCCTCCCCTGCCGGCCCTATTGCCCTCTACTGCCCTCACCTGCTGATCTGATTGCCTCCAACTGCCCTGCCCTACAGCCCTGGTCACTCCCAGCTGCCCTCCCCTGCAGCCCTGGTTGCCCACAACTGCCCTCCCTTGTAGGCCAGGTCGCACCCAACTGCATTCCCCTGCAGGTCCAGTTGCTCCCAACTACCCTCCCCTGCTGACATGGTTGCCCCCAACTGCCCTTCCTTGCTGGCCTGATGGCCCTCAATGGCCCTCCCTGCATGGCCTGGTTGCCCCCATCTGCCCTCCCCTGACAGCCATCTTGTGATGGCCATCTTGTGATGACATCACAGCAGCCATCTTGTAACGATGTTGCGTGACGTCACCTAGGCTTTTATTATATAAGTTGGTGTTAAATGCATGCCCAACACCCTGGCTGGTGGCAAATAGTTGGAGTGTCCTCCTGGGCACCAAAAGTCAGCAGGCTCAACTCCTGGTCGGGGCACATAACCAGGTTGTGGGTTCCATCCCTGGTTGGGGCATGTACAGGAGGCAACCAGACCGTTTCTCTCTGACATCAATCTATCTGTCTCTCTCTCTCTAAGTATATTAGCTGGTTGAGGATTAAAATAAAAAATTTGTGCCCTATCAATTTCCAAAAAAAAATCACATTCAAGTTAAGATAAGCTGATAAATATGACTTTACTATGGAAAATGACATTTGAAATTTCTTTACAATTTGCTGCAAATATTACTATAATTTCATATCTCTTCAGTTAGCCATTTTAACCTAATATTAAAGAACTATTTGGAAGGTTTGCTACCTGAACTATTATTGCAAGAAGGAGTAAGGAGTTTGAACAGCAGTAAAGACCAACAGGATCCAGGCATCACAGAGCACAGAACGTCAGGGCAAGTCCTGGGGTAGGCCGCCGGAGTTTAAGGACACGAGTTTCTATGTAGTCTTTATTACTCATGACCTGTGTGACCTTGAGCAAGTAGAAAGGATGAGCGATGACATTGGCATTGTCTGGGCAGTGAGCCACGGCCACCCTCCCGAGCTCTGCAGGTGTGTCCTGCTCCGGTCCCTCCTCCCCAGCAGGGTCTGGAGCAAGGGACACAGAGGTGTCGGATTCCTCCACAAAGAGCAAACTCCCAGGACACCACTGCCTGCTGGGCTCCTTCCTTCTCTTTTCCTCACGCTGACTCTCCGGACCCTGTCATCCCATCGCTACCACGAGGTGTCCGTGTATTTTCTGTCCTAAACCAAATGACTCCGTTCCACAGCGCGTTCAGGAATCGGAGGGGCAGCTGGAGGAGCCAGCGCCACGTGCAGACCAGCCACCGGACTCTAGTCTTGTCTCTGAACAGGGTCAAGCACTGGACGCACCACAGGCCCGGGAGATTTCACCAGGGCGGCGTCATTTCAAATACATAACAACAACCACAGACAGAGCACCTTACTGCTGAGTGGAGCATGGGGGTCACCCAACACTTATAAAGATTGGACCACATGACACTGGAAGGAGGAGGAAGCTACCACGGCCTTCAATCTGTGTCCTCGGATTTGCTGCCCTCGCGTGAGGGGCGGGTGGCCGCCTACCCATGCGTGCACATAACCAAGACAGTCTTAAGCCACAACCTCTTAACCACGAGACCAAGAAGCCCCTCTTATCTGTTCATCCAGATGTCTGTCTGTCTATCCAGACTGGTCATCAGTGGTTAACGAACACCATTAACTGTGCCAACACAGACTGGTGTCTCCCACAGCGAATCCTGCCTGGAACATGGGGTGACCTGAGACCACTTCTCTCCCTGCAGGCTGGTCAGCTCCCACGGAAGGTGCCCCGAGGGGCGCTGGCTGTCTCTGGGACTTCAGGGCAGCCCCTCGAAGGGCCTCGTCTACTCGAACCCACGGGCTCACGGGCTCCGCAGCAGCCCCCACGGCGGAAGGCCACTCACCGCTTGTGCTTCTCCAGCCAGGCCGCGCTGTCGGCCAGCAGGCAGGCGTTCTCGCCGGCCAGCAGGCCCAGCAGGCTGGCGTGGCCGGCCTCCGCGTACAGCTTGAGCAGGGCCGTGTCCACGTCCTCCCGGTAGCTGCGCACCGCCTCCGTGCCGCGCACTTCGTCCAGGTAGCTCATGAGGAAGCGCTTGCACTGGGCTGCCTTCTCCTGGTCGCCCTGTGCCAGCTGGTTCAGGTCTGCGTACTCGTGGAGAGGAGGGTGAGACCGCGCGAATGAAGAGGAGGTGGGCAACAGGAAGGGGCACAGAGAGATCAGCTCCCGGACGTCAAGCTGGCCGCTTCTGCAATTACAGTGTCAAACTAAATGAAGCAAAGAGAGAGAGAGAGAGCACTAGGCACACACACAGCACTGGAGGGAGGGCCTGCACCCTGGCCCGGGGCGGGGAGCGGCCAGCCACCGGAGACTGCCTTCGCCTGCCTGTGCGGCACTGCACCCCAAGCAGAGTGCCACCGACTCCCAGCAGAGGGAGTGGCGGAGGGAGGACGCACAGTGCGTACTGCAGTGAAACTCCGACACAGCTGACTCCACGTGGGCTGTGGGCTCCCCGGGCCCAGGGCAGAGAGACACAAAGGCAACCCCCACCGGCACCAGGCGGGTCCTCACTGCTTCCTCCAGGGTGCAGGATGCTGACCCTCCTAAAGGCTCTGCGAGACCCCAGCCTACAGCCTCCTCGGCAGGCACCTGGATCCAGGGACACAGCGCCCGCGGCCCTCGCTGGTGACTCCCGCGGACTCAAACGGCCAGCAGTCCTAACCTGGCAAGGCCCAGGACCCTCCATGGCCACCGCATCACCGCTCCCTCTCCCCTCGCCTCCCTCCGCCCCAGTCCTGCCCACGGAGCTAAAGCAGCAATGCCCAGCCTGGCCGGGCCAGAGCCGCCTGGGGACACACCCACCGTGGGAGGGGCGGTGCCCGCCGGCCACGCGAGGCAGCACAAACTTCCAGCAGCACCGGGGGGAGGAGCTGAGGACCAGCCCGCCAGTGAGAGGAGAGCTGAGTTTATTAGCCCGTCTGCCGGGGGCACAGGAAGGGGAGGCGGACTCGTGCTGGTCCCAGAGGGTCCTCCTCAAGCTCCCTCCTCCGGGCTCGCTGACAAAAGCCAGCGGCAGTCCACGTAACGGTGAGGGACACAGGGCTGACGTGGACAGCACAGGAGCCTGCACTAGCCACGGACAGGCCTGCATTTATTCTCACAAAATCGGCTACTTTTCTAGGAACGCCCACGACCGTTCACATGGGTTTTAAATGAGCCGGTGACAAAAGACCCTGCAGGACAGAGCAGGCGTGAGAGAAGAGAGTCGGCCCACGGGGACTGGGACCCTCTCCAACCCAAGCTAGTGGCTGTCCAGGCGCAGGTGACCACAGCGAGAACTCCCGCAGGCAACGTTCAGCGGGCACCGGGCTCACAGGGAACCCCTCTTCACCCAGAGTCTGTTCTCTGCAACGGGTCTGGTGACAAATCCTGTCGCGGTGCGCGGCCACGGCTAGTGCTGGCGGCAGGCTCTGCTCTGGCCCTGCACTCTGAAAGCGGCTCACAGGCAACGCGCCAGTGGGTATTCAGATGACGGAACAAGTTTCACTTGGGCGGGTGAGGGGCGAGGGTGGAGGGTGGAGGGCGGGTGAGGGTGGAGGGTGGAGGGTGGAGGGTGGGTGAGGGTGGAGGGTGGAGGGTGGGTGAGGGTGGAGGGTGGAGGGTGGAGGGCGGGTGAGGGGCGAGGGTGGAGGGTGGAGGGTGGAGGGCGGAGGGCGAGACGGCCCAGGTACAGACATGGTTACTCATGGAACGGGGAACCTCCAGGGAGAAACACAACTTCCTGAGCGAGCAAATTATGAGGGGCCATTTACAGTCTTTAGAAAATCGTTTTCCTAAGTCCTTCCAAAACTACCTGCTCTTGTTCTAAACTCATAGCTTCTTGTGAAATCTCTGGGGAAAAGGAAAAGTGAACAACAGTGTTTTCCTAAAAACCCTCCACATTATCAAACCCACTCCAAACTCCCCTCTCCTGAGCGTGTGCATCAGCCCACCCTCTGAGACCCGGGACCGTTGAAGGCTGAGGGGCAGGAGGGCAGGGACGGGCGCCGGGCCTTGCCACCCGCCCTGAAGCACCATGGAACCACCACGGAACCGGGCGGCACCTCCCGGCACAGCATCGAGGGGACTGGAGCCCACAGGGCCCCCGGAAGCCCGGCCAGCAGCACGGAATTACCTGAAGAGCTCCTTGGCCTCCGGGAACTGGAGATGCGCGAAGCGGATGAAGCCGGCCTGCTGCAGGATCCTCCTGTACATACCCTGGAAGATGGCAGGCCTCAGAGCACGCTCAGGAGCTCCGACAGAAACACACCAGCAGCACACGGCACAAGCAAGGGGATGTGTCTCCTTGATGCCTCTTTCTTTTTTTTAAAAAAATATATTTTATTTATTTTCTTACAGAGAGGAAGAGAGAGGGATAGAGAGTTAGAAACATCAATGAGAGAGAATCATCGATCAGCTGCCAGTTGCACACCTCCCCTACTGGGGATGTGCCCGCAACCAAGGTACACGCCCTTGACTGGACTGAACCTGGGACCTTTCAGTCTGCAGGCCGACGCTCTGTCCACTGAGCCAAACCGGTTTCGGCATCGATGTCTTTCTTAAAGCACCACATTCTCTGTCTCTTTGGATCTCTAGAAGAGAGAGTACTCCTTTACTCCCAGCCCTCATCAAACTCTGATAATCCCTCCCTAGCGCTCAGAGGAGCAAAATCAGTTCTGGCTTTAATTGAAGAGAACGGGGTGAGCGGTGAGATGCCAGCTGCTGACTGCCTGGTCTCCTTCCTCTCCCTTTCCGGCCTCTCTTAGCCTGGGGGCTGGCACTTGGACCCATGCATCCTACAGTTAAAATAAGTGATGTGCCTATGGGAAGAGTCTCATCTAACCCTAAAAACACAAGCCTCTAGGAGAAGGTAGCTCTAAACAACCACCTCTGTCCCACCCACCACACCATAGCTGCTGGGAGCCCAGTCCACAGCGGGGACCACACGGACCCATTCCTGTGAGCTCAGCCCAGAGATGAGCAGAGATGGAACCGAGAGAGAAGAGTCTGCCCAGGAGCAGGGGGGCTCCGAGGACAGGCATGGTTCAGCAAGGTACGGAAACAGTCACTTACAGTGTAGGGAGGCAGCTCCAGTAAGGGATGGTGGTGAGCACACTGCAAGTCCGCACCGGGAGACAGGCCCAGCGCTCCACTCTCACCAGCTGCCGCGCCTTCCTGTCTGAGGTACTGGTTATGTTCTAACTGCTCTGAGGACTAAAATGTAACTGCCTCAGAGGGCTTCCACATTGCAGGCTCAGCTGCTGTTCCCGTCCTCCACCCCGTGGTTCAGGCATGTTCACGGGGCGACAGAGAAGGCAGGAGAGGAGGGGAGCGGGCAGGAGAGGAGGGGAGCGGGCGGGGCCGAGCTGAAGAGCCTGCAGGGTTGGACTGACAATAGGCAGGGAGGCCCCCACCGAGGCATTTTACGCCAGGACTTGGTCTGCCCTTTAGAAAGGTCACCCCAGGGTGGCACAGGGATGGAGCAGGCACACCGAGGAGGCTGCTGGCACCAACCAGCGGCAAAGACGGGCACAGAGAAAGGGCTGAGCCTGAGGTCCTCCTGAGGGTTCCAGGGCAACAGGGAGAAGGCAGGGAGCGTATTAGAAAGGGGACACGCCAACTGAGGTATCTTGACTAGAGAGCAAGACGGCTAGTAATGTCTAATACTCACTGCGTGTGTCTGCTGTGGCAAGAAGAGAGGAGAAAAGCAAAAGCAGACAAAGAACCAGGAGAGCCTCTTTAAGAAAATGTTACAGCCCTAGCTAGTTTGGCTCAGTGGATAGAGCGTCGGCCTAGAGACTGAAGGGTCCAGGTTCGATTCCAGTCAAGGGCATGTACCTTGGTGTGGGCACATCCCCAGTAGGGGGTGTGCAGGAGGCAGCTGATCAATGTTTCTATCTCATCGATGTTTCTAACTTTCTTTCCCTCTCCCTTCCTCTCTGTGAAAAATCAATAAAATATATATTTAAAAAAAAAGAAAAAGAAAAGTAATGTTTCAAACTTAAAGTGTGCATGTGAGTGTGTGCACAAAGAGGGCACCCCAGGACCGGCCTGTCCGGCCATTCAACCTGTCTGCAGGCAGCAGCTCATGGTCCCTGATACACAGGAGAGAGGGGCGAGGAGCCCAGCAGGGTCTCAGGTCCCGGCTCCCGGCTCCTCGGTCAGCCGGCAGCCGGCTGCGTAAGGAAAGCACCACAGGGCGCTCAGGCGAGCGCTCAGCACAGCAGGCCCTGCACTGGTGCTTTCCTCCTTTTGCCTTTGCTGCCCCCTGCTGAGTGCTAATAGGTAGGTCTTACTTTAAAAAATGAGGAAGATGAAAGTTTATTGCCATTTAAATATAGAAAAGATGCCTTCTTCCACTCCCCATAACCAGTAAGTCTACTTCCTGCCTCTCACTCTCAGAACCCACCTTTTCCAGCATAAAGCAACCTTTCATTCCACAGCAGTCAGTCATGGGGAACCTGGCCCCTCTGTCAGAATCGCAGGTCACTCTCCGTCCCCGGGCCCTTTCAGTAACGCTCAGACATTCACAGGAATGCACCCTCACCCACCTCACATTTCTTTTCTCCCGGCTCCACAGAGTGACCTGCACTAACCTGACAGCCCATCAAGCAGCAGTTGTTAGGGAATGTGATTTCATAGACATAAGAATAACTGGTGATTATTATACCCATTACATTTATCCATACCAACTCTGTGAAAGTTCATGTTTCTTAAGGGCATTAAGTTTGCTCCTCAGGAAATTAATTAGGTGGACTCCTGCAATATTAGATAGTTATCAGTATGGTCAACCTGTAGATAATATAAACCTAAACTTTTATAATTCAGTCCCATCCCAACAAATACAAATTCTAAATGAGGAAACAAAATAACATGCTGCTGCTCTTGGTTTTCAGAATTATGCCTGGATTCTTCTCTGAAGGCCCCTGAGGAAGGAGGTTGACCAGAAACACAGCTCTGTGTAGTCAGCACGGAAGCCGGAGGCTCCCGGCCTGGCCTGGCTCTTGGCAGTGTCCTGGGCCACCGTGCTCTGCACCTGTGCCCTCACCTGCAAGGGGTGTGCCGACTGGCCCCCAGGAAGGCTCTGTGTGGGCTAACCCTGAGTGCTCTCTGCTCACTGCCCCGGACGCATGCTTCCTGCGATCAGTAGCTACACACCTGAAATTTCTCCTTTGGAATGTTCCTCCGGGCTCCTTTTGCTAAAACCAGCGCCTCCTCAACTCGGTGGCTTGCTAGAAGGTCCTGTATTTGCTTTTCCAGAGGTAAGGGAACCAAGATGTAAACTCCTTTACTTGTGGCGACAATCACTCTTCCTGGGAAAAAAGTCAACCAGTTGGAAAGGAGAAGGCATTTTGCCGGCAAGAACACACGCTGCTCCCCACGCCGACCCTGTTCTGACTTGCTGATCGATTTCATTGGCGTTCTCCCACACAGAATCACCATGGAAACCAGAAATTACAACATCCCTCTCTTCTTCATCCCAAACTTCCACTGTCAGCAAAGGCCAAACTCTTAACACTACCTTTCCAAAGTATAAAATATCCTCTTCTGCATGGTTTTTATTTGAAAGTGCTGATAAATTTACAACCAGTTGAGTATAATAGATACACAATATACAGTCTAATGAGATTATACAGATCAGTTATGGAAAATTGTCAGTCTGAATTATGATGTATCGATACTTCATATAAAACTTTCAAAATTTTATCTTCTGTTTGTATTAGTTACTTCATAGGAAATAGGATTATAACACAACATTCTGAATAATGAGACAGTATTTCATACTCATCTGCCCTACAGACACCTCCACATCTCAGCACTACCTTCCTCACTCCCCCAGCAGCTGCGAGCCACCCTGCCCGCAGCCAATGTCACCCTCGTTCCCCAGGGGACCTTGCATAGCACCCACCAGAAGTGCAACTACAGCCCAAGACCAGCTCCTAGTACAAAGCTTTATTTTTTAATCCTCGCCTGAGGAAATGTTTATTGATTTTAGAGAGAGCGAGCTACTTGCCTCCTGCATGTGCCCCAGGCATGGATCGAGCCCGCAACCCAGGTATGTGCCCTGACCTGGAATCGAACCCACAACCTTTAGATGCATGGATGATGCTACAACCAACTGAGTGACCCAGCCAGGGGCCAGGACAGCTTTTAAAGTGCGCTCTGCTGCGCCCCGGGGACGTGGTAGGCAGGAGGCAATGGCAGGCTTTTCTCTCTGCCTCCAGGGGAGCTCCGGTCAGCCTCGCCTTTGCTGCTGTCAGCTCTCCTCCCCTTGCGCTCCTGTCCACTGCAGCCCAGCCAGCCCTCTCCTGGCCTGGATCGCACCGCGTCTCCCTCGCTGGTCCTCCTGCTCTGCTCTCTCGTCTAGATTATCTGTCTTCTGTTAGCACAGACTCAGGAGACGCTGTCCCCTCTCTGTGCTGGAGTGCCTGTTCCCAGGAAGCCTCCCTTGCTCCCACCTAGGGTGGGCACCTCATCAGCCTCTCGGTGTACATGACCTGCCCACCTCCAGCACCCGAGGTACACGGCACCACAACACCGCTGTGAAATGTGTCCTCTGAGGCCCACGTCAGGCCTTCAGCTGGAATGTGAGGGGCTTAACATGCCAGAGGAGCCCTAGTAAGTTCACATCCCCAGCATCTCACAAAGAAAGGGCAGCACGTGGTCAGCTAAGACGCTTAAACGATACATGCAATGCATGCACATAGACTAGTTCCTGGCTCGAAGGAGAGATCACAGCAAGCTCCTCAAGGACCCTGGGGACTCTGGCCACTGGCAGGACACGGGAGCTCACTCTTTAAGGTGCGAAGGGCGTTGTGGTTACGGAGGAAAGTGCACTGATTCTGAGGAGGCACGCTGGAGCATTACGGCTTAAACACCGTGTGGTCCTCCACTTCCATTCAGCGCTAGGTGCTGCATCTAAGTGGGCGGTGCGCAGAGATTCGCTTCGTCATCTCTCAACTCTCCGGTACACTTACAAACATTCAATAAAGTTTACAAGGAAAATGAATCTGCCCCTGGCTCCCCACTGCACAGAAGAGGCAGTCCCTCCCTGACTGCCCTGGTCTCCTCACCTGACACCACCCTCCTCCCACACCGTGCACCACAGCCACCGGCCTGCTTCCGGGGCCTGCAGTGCAGGTCTGCATGCACCTTGCTCTCTCCCTGAAGATTCTTCCTAGCACATGTGCGTGGCTGAGTCCTCACCCTTAAAGGTTTGGCTCAAATACCACCTCCTTCAGGAAGTCCTGCCTGATATTCCTAGGAAATACTTCCTCCTCTGCTCTCCCCTTACTTCCTTCTACCAGGCTCTTCAACAGCTGTACCTACAGTTTAATGTCTCCCTCCCCACTGACCCCGAGGCCCCCGCAGTGCAGAATGTGTGTTACCATCACCTGTGTATCTGCTCTGCCCAGTATAAAGCCTGGTTCCTAACAGGCCCGGAGCAGTATTTACAGAGGAAATGTCACAAGAGAAGTGATAACTGAATTTCGTTAAGATCTCTGTCTAGGTTTGGGAGGAGAATCCAAGATGGCTGCCCAGGTAGACACCTAGCCGCAGCCGCACACAACAATTTCAATAAAATACAACTAAAATATAAAATGGACATTATCCAGAACTACAGGAAAGTTGACTGACTGGAAATTCTACAACGAGAAGCAAGGAGAAAACCAGAAGGAAGCGCAGAGGAGCTGTAAAAGCCTAAGGTACAGAGACACGCGGCGCGCGGAGAGGATGGAACTAGAGAGGAAGGGTGGCCGAGTGTCTGGCTGGCGTTCCCTAGAGGGAAGAAGATAAAAGCTCCGACTGTGCTGGGCCCCAGCTCCGACTGCTCTGAACCCCAGTTCTAGGCCAGACCCCGGGGACCCAGGCTCATCCATAGGGAGCTGGGCTGTAAGGCGGAACCCCGGGGGAGCGGCCAAAGGAGGTCCCAGAGGCGCGCACATTGCGCGTAGAGAAGGGACGGTTGGCTGTGCCGCGGGATTGCCCTAGCGGGAAGGACTGGGGCTCCAGACTGCTCTGAACACCACCTCCAACCCCACTTCCAACTGAACTGAACCCCAATACCAGGCTCATTGGGGGAGAGCCTAGACTATTTGGTAGCAGGCGAAAATCGAGGGCACCTTTCTCTTAGAGGCACTTGTAGTACTGAAGGACCCTGAGACCCAGGAACTGCATAGGGCGGGCATAGGGCAGGGCTGACAGAAGCCAAGGCTGTAGGCTTCACCCTGAAACCCCGCCCCATCAGGGAAGCTACGAAAATGCGACAACGAAATAGATCACAAACGAAAGAAATGGAGGACAAAAAGCGACTGGATATAGAGTTCAAATCTACGCTTATAAGGTTTTTCAAGAATTTCCTAGAAAAGGTCGATAAGACCTATGAGGATATGAAAAGGGATCAACTAGAATTAATAAGGAATCAACAAGAAATGATAAGGAATCAACAAGAAATAAAGAATATATTATCTGAAATAAAAAATATTATGCAGAGTCCTAAAAACAGAATGGAAGATCGCAAGAATCAAGTCAAAGATTTGAAACATGAAGAGCCAGAAGACACTCCTCTGCAGAAGCAAGAAGGCAAGAGAATCCAGAAAGTTGAAGATAATGTAAGAAACCTCTGGGACAACTTCAAGCGAACCAACATCAGAATTATGGGGGTCCCAGAAGGTGAGAGAGAGCAAGATACAAAAAATATACTGGAAGAAATAGTGACAGAAAACTTCCCCACCTGGTGAAAGAATTAGACTTACAAGTCCAGGAAGCACACAGAACTCCAATCAAAAGGAATCCAAAGAGGACCACACCAAGACAAATCATAATTAAAATTCCAAGAGCAAAAGACAAAGAGAGAATATTAAAATCAGCAAGAGCAAAGCAGGTAGTTACCTATAAAGGAGCACCTATACGATTGTCAGCTGATTTCTCAACAGAAACCATGCAGGCCAGACGGGAATGGCAAGAAATATTCAAGGTGATGAATAGTAAGAACCTACAGTCAAAGATAATTTACCCAGCAAAGCTATCACTCAGAATCGAAGACCAGATAAAGAGCTTCACAAATAAAAAAAAGCTAAAGGAGTTCATCACCACCAAACCAGAATTATATGAATTGCTTAAGGGGATTCTTTCAGAAGAGAAAGAAAATAAGATAAAATTTATGAACAACAAATACGTAACTACAACAAGTGAATCTATAAACCAAGGAAATTAAAAAAAAATCTGATGAACAATATTAACTGTTGAATATAATATAATCAGAGGTATGAAAGGGGAGTGAACTGACGATTCTCAGGGAGGGGGGGAGAGGGGGATGTGGGAAGAGACTGAACATAAACTGTGCACCTATGGATGAGGACAATGGGGGTGGGGAAAGGGCAGAGGGTGGGGTGGGAACCTGGTGGAGGAGAGCAATGGAGGAGGGGAGGAAGGAACATTTGTAATAATATAAACAATAAAGATTTATTTAAAAAAAAAAAAAAAAGATCTCTGTCTAAGCGGGTACCTTCGAAGTCCTGTAGGATGTGGCCTTCCTTGAAGGGCAGGGTCTGCTTCTGCTGCTGGTCTAGCATGCTGTGGACCGTGATGAAGGCGTCGTCGAGCGCCAGGACGTAGGGGAAGCAGACGGCCGCGCCGATCACGTTCTCTGACCAGTGCACAGGAGCCCGCCGAGAAATCCCAGCCACGGTGGCAAACATGCCTAGAAAACAGGGATTAGGAGGCCTTCAGTAACTACTTATTTTCCTGCATCTGGATCATATATCACCCACTTTCCTTATATCTCAGACAGGAAACATAACATAATTTGCTCTATGTGACTTCATTTCCATGAGAACTAGCTTCCTAGAGTGTATATCTTATACTTACTTCCAACTAAAAATGAAGGTAAACTGGGGGATTAAAAATGGCGGCGGAGTAAGTGGATGCTGCATGGACATGCTCCCAGGACCTAACTGGAATTACAACAGAGAAACTTCCTGAATAAGCAACTGAACACTCGCTGGAGAGGACCCTAATAAATGAGGACCGGAAGTGAGGACTACATAGAGGCTGGTAGGAGGGGCAGAGGTGCAAAAGTCTAGCCGGCTGCCACAGACACCAGCTGAGGTTCCAGAGGATAGCTCAGCTCCAGGGGGTGAAGGGGAAGGCGTTCCCATTGAGAACTCTGGGATCTAAGCCCCAAGCTGAAAGCACCAGAATTGAGAAAGGTGACCACATAGCATCTGGCTGTGAAAAGCAGCAGGGTTGCTGTCTGTCAGGGAGAGATGGCTAGAAATGCAGGCACCATCTTAAAGGGCCAACACACAAAATTCCCTGTGTAGCCACTCACCTTGTGCTCCAGCAGAAGGAGGGCAGAGTGAACTGGAGCTGTATGAGCAGAAGTCAAGATTAGAGACTCTGGGGTTTACTTCAAAAGGTAGACACCCCAGTTTCCAGTGCTCAGTCATTCCCTCATGCTGTGGAGGTCATCTTTCTCACACAGACATTTGCTATACAGGCAGCTTTGCCTGGGGGGAAGACAGTTGACAGACTCTATTGGAAAGTACCTTGTCCCACAGTGTGGAGTTACTGAGGCCCATTAAGAGACTGAGCATTAGAATTAGCCTCCCAGCAGAAGCAATTGCCCCACCCTGTTGGGGAAAAGTCTTGTCATATCTGTAGGGATAGTTGAGACTAAATCCAATCAGTCTGCAAGCAGAAACGGTCTCCAGAAACTCAGAGTCTTTGCCTGATCTAATTAGGTCAGAAACAGTGTTTGACTATCCTACACTAAAGATTGAGAGGTGTAACAGATCTATCTAATACAAAGTCACAAACCCAAACAGGCAACCAAAATGAGGAGACAAAGTAACAATCCCCAAATGAAAGAATAAGAGAATTCTCCAGAAGAAGAGAAAAATAAAATGGAGATAAAAACTTTATCTGATATAGAGTAAGAAAAATGATAATAAAGATGCTCAACAGCAAGAGAAAAGATATAGTAACTATGAAACCAGAAATAAAGAAAGACATAGCACAAATAAAGAACACATTAGAAGGAATACATAGCAGATTAGGAGTGGCTGAGGATCGGATCAGTGAATTAGAAGACAGGGTATAAAAATCACTCAATCAGAACCAAGAAGAAAAAAAAACATTAAAAAACAGGAAGACAGCTTAAGGGAGCCAACATAAAATGTACAATATTCGCATAATAGGTGAACCAGAAGGGAAAGAAAGGGAGCAAGGGATAGGGAATGTTTGAAGAAATAATGGCAGAAAACTTTCCTAACCTGGTGAAGGTAAACATCATACAAGTTCAGGAGGCACAGAGAGTCCCAAGCAAGAAGAACCCAAATAGGCCCATGCCCAGACTATTATAACTAAGATGCCAAAAACTATAAGACAAAGAGAGAACCTTAAAGGCAGCAAGAGAAAAGCAAACTGCTACCTACAAACAAGCTCCCAAAAGGCTGACACCTGACATCTCAATAGAAATTCTCCAAGCCAGGAGAGAAAGGCATAAAGTACTTACGGTAATGAAAAGCAAGGATCTGGAACCAAGACAACTATATCCAGCAATGCTATCATTCAAAATAGATAAAGAGCTTCCCAGACCAAAAAAAAAAAAAAAAAAGGATAAAGGATAAAGGATTTCATTATCACCAAACCAGCAATGCAAGAAAGGCTAAAGGGACTGCTGTCATGAGAAGAAGAAAGAGAAACCTAAGCATACAGAATTAAAATGGCAATCATTAAGTACCTATCAATAATAACCCTAAATGTAAATGGATTAAATGCTCCAATCAAAAAGCATAGCTGGATGGATATAAAAACAAGACTCAACTATATGTTGTCAACTAGAGACGCAGCTCAGAAAAAAAGATTCACACAGGATGAGAGTGAAGCGATGGAAAAGAACTTTCCATGCAAATAGAAAAGAAAAAAAAAGCTGAGGTAGCAATACTCATATCTGACAAAATAGACTTCAAAATGAAGGCCATCACAAGAGACAACATAGATCACTACGTAATACTAAAGGGATTATGTGAACATATATGCTCCCAATATAGAAACACATAAATATATTTTAAAACGTTCTAGAGGACTTTAACTAGTTAACTGCCATGATATTTCGAATTTAATTAAAAATGGTCCAATGCAACTAGGAATAAACTTAACCAAGGAGGTAAAAGTCCTATACTCAGAAAACTACAAGACCTAAAAGAGAGAGAGGAAGATGTAAACAAGTGGCAGAACAGTCCCTGTCCACGGACTGCCAAATGTGGTGAGTTTGACTCAGGCACACATAGGAGGTAATTGATTGATGTTTACCTCTCACACTGATGTTTCTCTCTATCTCTCTCCCTTCCTCTCTCTCAAAGCAATAAAATGGAATAAATAACATTTAAAAACAAACTTCTAAGCTCTGTCCACTGAAGAGGCCTAGAAACAACGGACAGAAGCTCCTCTGGCACCCAGACTGTGGTCTCTAAACTGCAGGGCTCCTTGGCGACGTGGGAAACCGGTCTAGGGCAGGAAAGTGCCAGGTGAACTCGGAGCACCTTGCCATCCTAAAGGCAAGGAAGCTATCACAGTGCAGGGCCAGGGGAAGGGATTATCCTTCAACCTTAACAAACACCCACCACGGACGATGGCTTGGCTGCAAGTACACTGTATGTATTAAAATCCGTGGTTCCGAAAGAGAGAATCCAAGATGGCTGCTCGGGTAGGCACCTAGCCACAGCCGCACGCAACAATTTTAATAAAATACAACTAAAATATAAAATGGACATCACCCAGAACTACAGGAAAGTCGACTGACTGGAAATTCTACAACGAGAAGCAAGGAGAAAACCAGAAGGAAGCGCGGAGGAGCTGGAAAAGCCCAAGGTACGGAGACACGCGGCGCGCGCGGAGAGGACGGAACCGGAGAGGAGGGAGCGGAGTGCCTGGCGGCGTTCCCTGGCGGGAAGGAGATAAAAGCTCCGAGTGTGCTGGGCCCCCGACTGCTCTGAACCCCAGGCCTAGGCCAGACCCCGGGGACCCAGGCTCACACAGAGGGAGCCGGGCTGAAAGGCGGAACCCGGGGAAGAGGCGAAAGGAGGTTCCAGCGGCGCAGCGCAGAGAAGGGACGGCCGGCTGTGCCGCGAGATTGCCTGGCGGGAAGGAGACAGGGGCTCCAGTCTGCTCTGAACGCCACCTCCAACTCCACTTCCAACTGAACTGAACCCCAGTTTCGGGCCCATTGGGGGAGAGACTAGACTGTTTGGCAGCAGGCGATCGAGGGTGCCTTTCTCTCAGAGGCGCTTACAACAAGTACTGAAGGACCCTGAGTCTCAGGAGTCGCATAGGGCGGGGCTGACGGAAGCCAAAGCTGTAGGCTCCACCCTGAAAACCCGCCCCATCAGGAAAGCTGCCTGCGAAAATGCCTAAACCAAATAGATCACAAACGAAAGAAATGGAGGACAAAAAGCAACTGGATATAGAGTTCAAAACCACACTTATAAGGTTTTTCAAGAGTTTCCTAGAAAAGGCTGATAAAATAAATGAGACTTATGAGGATATGAAAAGGGATCAACAAGAAATAAAGAATACATTGTCTGAAATAAAAACTATTATACAGAGTCCTAAAAACAGAATAGAAGATCGCAAGAATCAAGTCAAAGATTTGGAACATAAAGAGCCAGAAGATACTCCTCTGCAGAAGCTAGAAGGCAAGAGAATCCAGAAAATTGAGAATCAAGTCAAAGATTTGAAACATAAAGAGCCAGAAGATACTCCTCTGCAGAAGCTAGAAGGCAAGAGAATCCAGAAAATTGAAGATGATGTAAGAAACCTCTGGGACAACTTCAAACGATCCAACATCAGAATTATGGGGGTCCCAGAAGATGAGAGAGAGCAAGATATCGAAAACATATTGAAAGAAATAGTGACAGAAAACTTCCCCCACCTGGGGAAAGAATTGGACTTACAAGTCCAGGAAGCACACAGAACTCCAAATAAAAGGAATCCAAAGAGGACCACACCAAGACAAATCATAATTAAGATTCCAAGAGCAAAAGACAAAGAGAAAATATTAAAAGCAGCAAGAGCTAAGCAGGTAGTTACGTATAAAGGAGCACCTACACGATTGTCAGCTGACTTCTCAACAGAAACCATGCAGGCCAGAAGGGAATGGCAAGAAATATTCAAGGTGATGAATAGTAAGAACCTACAGCCAAAGATAATCTATCCAGCAAAGCTATCACTCAGATTCGAAGATCAGATAAAGAGCTTCACTAATAAAAAAAAGCTAAAGGAGTTCATCAACACCAAACCAGAATTATATGAATTGCTGAAGGGGGTTCTTTCAGAAGAGAAAGTAAATAAAGATAAAAATTATGAACAACAAATTCGTAACTGTCAACAAGTGAATCTAAAAACCAAGGAAATTAAAAAAAAATCTAATGAACAATATTAACTGTTGAATATAATAGAATCAGAGGTATGGAAGGGGAGTGAACTGATGATTCTTGGGGAAAAGGGGAGAGGGGGATGTGGGAAGAGACTGAACATAAACTGTGCACCTATGGATGAGGACAATGGGGGGAGGGGAAAGGGCAGAGGGTGGGGTGGGAAGGGGGGGGAAGGGACATTTGTAATAATATGAACAATAAAAATTAAGGAAAAAAAATAATAAAATAAAAATAAAATCCGTGGTTCCTAATTATAATGTTAAAAGGTCACTTCTGGACGACAGAGGGATCACCTTATTGAAAACCTCCTCCTACCCAAATAGAGGCATTTCTCTTCCTCAAGGAACTACAGTTCACACGTGAAGGAGGGACAGACAGAGAATGTTGCCACTAGTTTGTAGATTTAAAACTGTAGGCAGGCCCTAGCCAGTGTGGCTCAGTGGAGAGAGTGTCAGTCTGCGGACGTAAGGGTCCCAGGTTCATTCCAGCCAAGGGCACATGCCCAGGCTGCAAGCTCAATCCCCAGTGTGGGGGGCGAGGGGGCATGCAGGAGGCAGCCAATCAGTGATTCTCTCTCACCATTGATGTTTCTCTCTTTCTCTCCCTCTCCCTTCCTCTCTGAAATCAATAAAGAAATATATTGTTTTTAAAAATACATAGGCAATACTCAGCAATAACTATTAACAACCCAGACACAATCACAAGGAAGTGTGTAAGCTGACAGAAGTCCCCTGCCTATGAATAAGTCATATATATATTATTGATTTTCCACAGAGAGGAAGTGAGAGGAATAGAGAGTTAGAAACATCGATGAGACAGAATCATCGATCAGCTGCCTCTTGCACACCCCCTACTGGGGATGTACCCGCAACCAAGGTTGGGGATGCCCCTGACCGGAATTGAACCTGGGACCTTTGAGTCCGCAGGCCGATGCTCTATCCACTGAGCCAAACCGGTTTTGGCAAGTCTTGCCTCTCCTCACACCCCTGCCCACACCCTGAGGGAGCCACCCTGCGGAAGTAAACATCACAGGTTGCCAGTGAAGTCGGTAGCTCTGATTCTTAGCTTCAGCGTGGCAGGGCAGAGAATGAGGAAGACCTTACAAAACCCCCACAGCCCTCTCAAGATGCTGGCTACTAGATCCTTCTTGCCGGGATGAAATCTCAGTCAACTAAGAGAGAATTATGTCAGTAACACTGAAGTCTCTGCATCTGAAAAGACTTATCGGTGAGCTACTGAAATCCTTTAGAGACTGAAGAGCAAAAACAATCCATGACACCCCCATGCACCAGAGGAAATCTTACCCGGAAGGCTGCGGACCTTTATTTTATAGTTATTTACTTAAAGGAATCTTCTCCCCAGAGCAAATCTGGCTCCATATCAACACAAAATAAAACTAGAGAACAAATAAAACACAGACTCACAGATACAGACTGCGTGTTGTCAGAGGGGAGGGGGGCTGGGGAACTGATGAAAAAGGTGAAGGGACAGAAGTACAGATTGGCAGTTAGAAAATAGTCACAGGATGTAAGGCACAGCATAGGAAAAGTCAATGAGCCTATATAATGAAAGCCTAATATATTATATTAAGTGCCTGGTCAGCCAATTGTTATGACATGCACTGATCACCAGGGGGCAGACACTCCAACCAGTAGGTTAGCTTGGAAGGGGAGGGGGGATTAGCTTGCTGCTGGGATCCAGCCAATCGGACTGAGCAAGTCGGGTCAGACACGCCTGGGACCCTCCCATGACCCCTCCCTGGCTGGCCAACCTTCTATGTCCCTCCCCGGCCCCAATCATGCATCAGTGGGGTCCCCCTATCTGGCCTGCACCCTCTTGCAATTCAGGACCCCTCGAGGGATGTTGGAGAGCCAGTCTGGGCCTGATCCTGGGAATTCGTGCACCGGGTCTCTAGCATTATAATAACTATGTACGGTGCCTGGTGGGGTGTGAGGTACCAGGGTCTACTTTGTAAAGTACATGGCTAACCGCGTGCGATGCTGTACACCTGACACTAAGACAAAGTAATATGGAATGTGAACCGGAATAGGAAAATAATTTAAAAGACACTGGTTACGTGACCACCCTGATCTCAGCGTGAAGCTGTGGAGGTAACTGCAGAGAATGGGCAGACGGAGGCGAGGGCAGCGGGCGCCAGCGCGGAGCTCACCCAGTCCTCCCGGGCCCGCCAGCAGGAACTCCTGCCGCCCGATCCGCTTGACGATGGGGCGCTTCTCCTCGCTGCAGTAGGGAAACAGGTCCTGGGCGGCGCCCGTGCTGTAGTTGAGGATGATGTACTGCGTGGTCAGGGCCAGGCACAGGAAGTGGCCGTCCACGGCCACGGCCAGGGGCTGCTCCGGCGTGGACACCTCGCGGACGATCTGGACCCGGTCCTCGTACACCAGGAACACCTGGATGGTCCGGCGCTTCACGGAGATGGTGCAGACCTCCACGCAGAACGGGTCCCCGCTCACCGGGTTCTCGTTCAGGGCCAAGGCCACGGCGCCCTTGATGCGGGCGCCCGAGGGCACGGGCTCCAGGCTCAGCATGTGCACCAGGGAGATGGAGCAGTCGCACAGCACCAGCAGCCTGTGCAGGGCCGAGGCGGCGCGCAGCTCGCTCACCGGCTTGCGCAGGCCCAGGTGCCGGTGCAGCTGCTTGGTGGCCGTGAAGGTGGCGGTGCCGGCCGGCAGGCTCTGCTCCTCCAGCAGGAAGTGGTGGATGGAGCAGTCGTTGGTGCCCACGTAGAGGTTCTTGCCGCAGCACTCCACGCACTCGATGCTGACGCGCTCCTTGTCGCCCATCAGCAGCTCCCGCTCCACGGCGGACACCAGCGTGAAGGCCTTGGTGCCCATCATGCCCGCTGGTCTGCAGGGAGAGGACGGGAGACAGTGCTTACCGACGGGAGCGAGCAGAGCCATTTCCCATCACAGCAAACAGGCGCTGACCCCTCAGTCACAACGTCAGGGAGAGGAAAGCACAGCGTTCACACTGCTAGAAACACTGAAGGCACAGGGTTCCACGTGCCTCCTCCCCCCAGACCAGTGGTCAGCAAACTCAGCAGTCAACAGAGCCAACTATCAACAGTACAATTACTGAAATCTCTTTGGAGAGCCAAATTTTTTAAACTTAAATTTCTTCTAACACCACTTCTTCAAAATGGACTCGTCCAGGCCGTGGTATTTTGTGGAAGAGCCACACTCAAGGGGCCAAAGAGCCGCAGTTTGCCGACCACGGCCGCAGACCAATGGAGAGGCCAGCAGGAGGGTCAGCGCTCATCCACCCAAGGGGGGAGGGATGCTGCAGTCCATGTGGGCTTCCTCGCACTCATAGGAGACACACCCGTGAGCAGAAGGCAAGCACACGTTCTCCCCAAAGACAACATGAAACTGTGGAAAAGGCAGGAACGACCCTCACGGCCGGCCCTGAGCTCGGCCTGTGGTGAGTGGTGGGACGCATACATGGTGTTGCCAAGCCCTGCCCCAGCCCTTGGCAGGAATACTGGGCAGAACCACACTCGCTCCCTCGGATTCTTCCCTATGAGGGTGCCCGTGTCCAGCACCACCGTGGCCCCCAGAAAGAGTGTGCCCCCCAGAGAGAATGTGTCCCCAGAGAGAGCGTGTCCCCAGAGTGTGTCCCCCCCAGAGAGAGTGTGTCCCCAGAGAGTGTGTGTCCCCAGAGAGTGTGTCCCCCCCAGAGAGAGTGTGTCCCCAGAGAGAGCGTGTCCCCAGAGAGTGTGTCCCCCAGAGAGAGTTTGTCCCCAGAGAGAGTGTGTCCCCAGAGAGTGTGTGTCCCCAGAGAGTGTGTCCCCAGAGAGTGTGCCCCCCAGAGAGAGTGTCCCCAGAGAGAGTGTCCCCCTCAGAGTGTCCCCCCCCGAGAGAGTGTGTCCAACAGAGAAAGTGTGTCCCCAGAGAGAGTGTGTCCCCAGAGAGTGTCCCCAGAGAGAGTGTCCCCCCCAGAGAGAGTGTCCCCCCCAGAGAGAGTGTGTCCCCAGAGAGAGCGTGTCCCCAGAGAGTGTGTCCCCCCCAGAGAGAGTGTGTCCCCAGAGAGTGTGTGTCCCCAGAGAGAGTGTCCCCCAGAGAGTGTCCCCCCCATAGAGAGTGTCCCCCCCAGAGAGAGTGTCCCCCCCAGAGAGAGTGTGTCCCCAGAGAGTGTGTCCCCAGAGAGAGTGTCCCCCCGAGAGAGTATGTCCCCAGAGAGAGTGTGTCCCCAGAGAGCGTGTCCCCCAGAGAGAGTGTGTCCCCCAGAGAGAGTATCCCCAGAGAGAGTGTGTCCCCAGAGAGTGTGTCCCCAAGAGAGAGTGTGTCCCCAGAGAGTGTGTCCCCAGAGAGAGTGTGCCCCCCAGAGAGAGTGTGTCCCCAGAGAGAGTGTCCCCCTCAGAGAGTGTCCCCCCCGAGAGAGTGTGTCCAACAGAGAAAGTGTGTCCCCAGAGAGTGTGTCCCCAGAGAGTGTGTGTCCCCAGAGAGAGAGTGTCCCCAGAGAGTGTGTCCCCAGAGAGAGTGTCCCCAGAGAGAGTGTGTCCCCAGAGAGTGTTCCCCCCAGAGAGAGTGTGTCCCCAGAGAGTGTCCCCCCAGAGAGAGTGTGTCCCCAGAGAGTGTTCCCCCCAGAGAGTGTGTCCGCCAGAGAGAGTGTCCCCCCAGAGAGAGTGTGTCCCCCACAGAGAGTGTGTCCCCAGAGAGAGTGTCCCCCAGAGAGTGTCCTTCCCAGAGAGTGTGTCCCCCCCAGAGAGTGTGTCCCCAGAGAGAGTGTACCCCCAGAGAGAGTGTCTCCCCCAGACAGAGTGTGTCTTCAGAGACAGTGTCCCCCTCCAGAGACAGTGTCCCCCCCAGAGACAGTGTCCCCCCCCGAGAGAGTGTCCCCCCCCAGAGAGTGTGTCCCCCAGAGAGAGCGTCCCCCCCAGAGAGAGTGTGTCCCCAGAGACAGTGTCCCTCTCAGAGAGAGTGTGTCCCCAGAGAGAGTGTCCCTCCCAGAGAGAGTGTCCCCCCCCCCCCAGAGAGTGTGTGTCCCCCAGAGAGAGTGTGTCCACGTGGAGGAAAGATGGGGCACATCCTGCTTCTCTTGGGAGGGCTGGTGAGGTTGCAGGCCTGGCAGGGAACGGTCCCTCCCACTGAGCACAGGCTGCCCATGCTCGCCTGGCTCCCTTCTCCCCGAAGGGCTGGGTTTTCACTGCAGGAGGGCAGAGGCAAGGGGGCCTGTCCCTGACCTCCGTCCCTGCCACCCTCACGCGGGAGCGGAGCCACGCTCCGACGGCTGCGGGGGACTGAGCGGGAGGCTTTGAGAACTGTCTGCCACGGCAAGCTGCCCCGAACCGGGTGCCTCCTGAGAACCAACTTCCTTAATCACCTTGGAAATGTTCAGGAGAGATGTATGCATTGGGGGAGGGTAGGAATCAACTCAGATTTTAGACTGCTCCAATTTCTTACCCCGTCCACTGGGGGGCGACACTACACCCGGGAGCCTCTGCTTCCCCTCTGTGGTCAGAGGCCCAGGGCTGGGGCAAGGATCCCACTGGCACCTCAGCTTCTCCCTGTCCCTGCCTGTCGCTTAGTACCGTAGCTACTTGGCCTGGGGGAGCTACATGACCTGAGGGGAACATCACACGCCTGCCCACACGTGCACCATCACACACCTGCCCACACATGCACCACCCATACCTGCATACCACACACCTGCACATCACACACCTGCACACACGCTGGGGGGACCGATCAAGGGCCCAGGCCACCACCTGAAGGAGAGTAATGATGGCGCCTGCTTCATATGACTCTTGGGGAGTACGCCGGCCCACGTCGGCACTCACGGAAAGTTCCCTGGGTCTCTCCGGCCCCGCGCACTCTCCTTTAACTCCCAGGCCTGGCTCCAAGAGACAGCGCTCTGTCCATGGCCCTGAGCTGGCGGCTGTGGCCCTGACTGACGGACTGGAATGCAGTCCTTTCGTTTACACGGGCCCGTCCTCACGGCGCTGGGGAAAGGCGCTCAGAGGCCTCGGAGAGGGATCCTCATCCATCTCTCTGGGCTCACGCCCCGGGCCCGGGGAAGCCTCGGGCTGGGAAGAGGCTTTGGTGGGACAAGTTTACACATCACAGCCCACGTGCCGTGACCAAGCGGAATCACAAACCCACCCTGACACGGCTGCTTCCACGGAAAGACAAACACTGGAACGTAAGCTCAGAAACACCGAACGGTCCTCCCCAGGGGCGGGCGGGCGGGTGGGCGGGCGGCCACTCCTCTGGGAGTGGACCCTGTGGCCGCTTTGCAGCCGCACCGAGAAGCAGGCTGCAGGCACCAACTCCCATTCCGCCATTTAACCATAATTATTGTCCGTATTCTCATCTCTGCCTTTACCTAGCAAAGAGGTAAACTAGAGGCGTTTGCTGTAAAAAATACAGCTTGGCCTTGAACAACATGGGGTTTGGGGTGCCTGCCCCCCCACGCAGCTGGAAATCCACAGAAATCAAAGTGCCCTCGGCACACGCGGACTCCCGGCCGCCAGCCAGTCCTTGAGCAACACAGGTTTGAACGGAGGGAGGGTCCCCTGAGAAAAATCCAGTATAAGCGGACCCACACAGTTCAGCCCGAGGCCAAGTGTGTGGAAAGCAACCACACACCTCGTATTCAGCCTAAATACTGGGGTGGACGGCGAAGGAAAGGAGAGGAGAGAGTTGTAAAATGAGCTTCAGTTTGTTAAAAAGTCGTATTTCTATAATGTTTAAAAAGACATGCAATGTTGTTTCATTACCTGGTAATCAATGACTCAAGTCTTGCTAAAAATAAGTGTCCCACTCTAGGCCTTTAAGTGAGGGGCCTGCTTTAATAATTAAATGGCAACTTATAAAACACAGAGGAGAATACTGCCAATAACACAGCAGAGTGAGACGTTCCTTTTTGCCCTTTTTAAACAACAAATTAGACAGCCGTCCTGTGGATGCGGTGGGACTGGGCGGTCACCCACCCAGGCCCGCAGTGACAGGCAGACAAAGCTCAGTTCGGCTGGCCCTGACCCCTCCCCACGGCTGGAGTGAAAACCAGGGGGCATCAGGATTTCAGAGATGCTTGGGTGGGACATGGACAAACACAGGCTGGGAACCACTGCACAAGAGCAAAACAAACAAACCAAACAAACAAACCAAACGGAGCTGGTGACAGCAGAGGCAGCGGAGGGAAACTTCCAGCACCTCCTGGGGAAACAGTGCCCGGCTGACCTCCCCGCTGTGGCCAGCCTGCCGGGGAGGAAAGGACAAGGACGGCGGTGAGTGAGTGCCGGCTGCCCGCTGTGCAGGAAGAGGCTAGAGAAGCCAGCAGGACCTCCATGACTGGGAGGACAACCGGGAGGACCAAGGGCTGGAAAGAGGCAGATGGGAATTTCAAAGGGAATGAAAGGAATCAGATGCAGAAGGAAGCCCACCGCCAGCCTCTGGGTGTGTCACACCCAGGCATCTCCCCCTGAGTCTGCAGGCACCCCGGCACCTGAGCACTGAGCTCCCCTCCCTCCCTCCCTCCCTCCCTCCCTCCCTCCCTCCCTCCCTCCCTTCCTCCTTCCCTCCCTCCCTCCGTGCCAGCTCCTGTGTGGAGAGAGAGAGAGAGAGAGAGAGAGAGAGAGAGAGAGAGAGAGAGAGAGAGAGAGAGAGAGAGAGAAGTCCAGCAGAGAGGAGCCCACTCAAAAAGCGGGCAGGGGAGCGACCACATACTGGAGCTATACCACCACCTTCTGGGAAACAAGAGAGGTTTGCAGCGAGTTGTACGAACCAGAGAAGCCATAAAAGCTGAGGGATTCAGTCACAGGAGGGAACATGAAGAATGCAGGAGATGCACTCAGAGAGAGGGAGAAAACCCAGGTGATATGGCACCATCAAACAGA